TCACGGAGCCATACATCTATAATCACCTGCTTTACAACGACAATGAACCACTGCAATGCAGTGGTGAAGGGTTACCTTTTTAAAAAGTGGTGCTGGATATTCATAAAGAAAAATAAAGTCTTGATCCACATTTTATGCCAAATGAAAAATCAATTACAGATAGATTATAGACTTAATATGATAAGTAAAACAATAAAGCCTCAAAGAGATAATATGAAGATAAATTTGGGGGGATGGGATTCATTTCTTTGGGGCAAAGTTTTTTTTTTTTTCTAAATTAGGATATAAGATCACTAACCATAATGGAAAAAAATTTGATAAATTGGATAACATTAAAATTAAAAACTTCTGTCCATCTGAGGACATCATTAAGGCAGTAAAAAAGAATGAGAGAAAATATTTACAATATATTTAACTGATAAAGAACTCCTATCTATAATAAATTAGGACCTCTACAAATCAGTAAGGCAAAGACAGACAATAAGAAAGTAGAAAAACAGGCTGAACAGAAATCTCATGAAAGAAAATATCAAAAGTCTAAATATGTCAACAGGAATATCCTAATGAAATTGTAATTAGACTGACATCAGCAGAGTGGCTAAATTTTAAAAAGATTGAAAAAAATCCAAGAGCTAGTGAAGATGAGAATGTGGGGCAGCTAAAACTTACATACACAACCGTGGGGAGGGAGGGAGTGTCAACTGTACCATCACTTTAGAAAACTGGTAGGAGCACATACACACACGCTACAATCTAGAAATTCCATTCCTGTGCACACACCAACAGAAATGCACCAGAAAAATGCACAAGAATGTTCACAGCAGTTTTATTTATGATAACCCAACTGGATGAATTCCAAGGTCCATGTGTAATAGAATGCATAAATAAAATGTGGCTAATTCTCATAACACAATACTATTGGGCAATGGCAAAAATGAACTACTTCTGTATACCACATGGATGACTCTCACAGATATAATGATGAGTAACAGAAGCCTACATAAAATGTACATAAAATTTATTTACATAAAATTAAAAAATAGGGAATGCTAATGTACAGTGATAGAAATAAAAGGGACTGGTTACTTTTGGCAGAGGGCACACTGCCTGTTGTGGGAGACAACAGAAGCATCTATGGTGCTGGAAATGTTCTTTGCTGGTAAGAGTGGTGGTTACACTCTCGTTTAAGAGGAAGCCTTCTATTTCTGTAGTACCTATGTGTCCACTTAGGTGCTGCTCAGTTAATACCAGTTTGCTGGTGAGTATATGTGGTGCTTGTTTTTCCATTCTTGGGATACAGTAATAGGGTATTGGGCAGGTGGGAGGGGGCAGGGAGGCGGGTATATACATACATAATGAGTGAGATGTGCACCATTTGAGGGATGGTCATGCTAGAGACTAAGACTTGTGGGGAGAGAGGGGGAAGGGCATTTATTGAAACCTTAAAATCTGTACTCTCATAATATGCCGAAAAAAATAATAAAATAATAAAAAAAAATAAAAAGAGCAAAGAAGCATTAACAAGAAAGAAAAAAAAAGGAGGAAGCCTTCTGCTTCTGGTTGGGATATGGAAAGTCAGGAGACTATTTTTCATACTCTAACACCAAAGAACAAACTGAGGCTAAGAACAAAATAAGGCCTAACTAAATGAAAGTAGAGAAACTGACAAGCCATTTCCAGGAAAAAGAAGACCCATAGCTGCTCTTATTCCTGGAGGAGGAGAAAGAGGGAGAAGAAGGAAATCCGCCATTAAAACGCATAAGGACAAACCAGCTACACTTTGAAGGAAACAGTCTCCATGAGTGGAACGGCTTGAGGAATTTGCACCCTGAGGACATCTGCCACCAACTCTTTCCCACGCGCCTTCCTTACTGGGTGAAGGTACACCTTACTTGGGTGCAGGGCTGAAGAGCTGTGATGCTAACAAAGAAGTTTAGATTTGATGAATTCCAGGGAGTGGATGGAGGTGTTACAGCAGAGACAAGATGCCTGCTAGGAAGCTCTAGCAGGATGGAGGTGAGAGTAATGGCCTTGGAGACGGAAATAAGTGAATGAATTTCATGAACCACTTTGAGGTAGAGGAGACAGAACCCTTGGTGTAGCATTCCTACACCACATACTTCGTTCCGTTGCTATGAGGTAAAGATTAGATGTTTAAAAACCCATTATGTAATTTTGTCACAACTGTCTATAATGAGAAGCGCGTATGGAAACCACAGCAGAGGATCAGAGATGAGCAGAGGCTCTGGATCTAGACCACAATTCCATCAAAGAACCAAGAGGATACAAAAAGACACCACAGGAAGGTCAGTATCAAATAAAAAAAAAAATAAAAGAATACAGAGAAGGTTCTAGAAAAATCCTTGGACTATTGGGGAAGTGGGTAGGAAACAGCACGTTCATGCTCAAGAGTTTAGCTGGGGGCAAAACAAACAAATAAGAAAACAAAACAAAACCCTTTAGAGATCAGGAAAAGAAGAAGTTGAAGGCGTATGACCATGGTTTTAACAAATCTTGTAACAGGTAAGATTTAACACGATCTCCCTAGAGAATAAAGAGAGTTTAATAATTATTTGTTGAATATACTGAATGAGTGAATGTTATATAAACCCAGACAAAAGTAATCAGTGACCTTATGGTAAAGTAATAGTTTTGAATTTCTGAATTAGTTATGTGATCTTCATAACATAGTTATTTAAATTCATTATTCTTATATTTTAATAATGTATTTTTCTTATATTTATTTTTATCTTAAGAGTTACTATATTCTTTCAATGGTAATACTTCACTAGTTTGTACATTTTTCAAGCTGTGTTTAGCTTTAGCTACCTTTGAAAGATAAATAAGTACGCAGGGAAAAAACCTGTACAATTTAGGGCTATAATTTTAACCTCTTATATTCCCTAAAGGATATCTTTTATATAAATTAAACTGTAATGTACTTAATCTCACCTGTAATGTTTTGTGTAATTTTATGACTTCTATTTTGCTCTCTTAATTGTGATTAAAATTTATTGTTACCTAAAATATGGTGCTCTAATAAATAAAAAAATAATAGTGAAGACAAAAAAAGACTTATTAAACAATTTCTTGAAGGGATTGGGAGGGAGAAAGAAGAAAGGTTAAACTAGCCTCGTCCCTAAGATGTTGAGAACTATCTTGGTTCTTGCCTGTCTGGGCCTCCAATGTTGTGTAGCATCTAGTTATTACTGGTGTCTCTCTATCACTGTTTTTGCTGAAGCTACATTGAGTCGCATTTAGGTTTCTGCCTTGAAAATCATGCATAATGACATGAAAAATAAAGTATGGGGAGAAGAAGAATTATGAGAGAATGTGATCAATATATGTTTGTTGATCTTGAACACAGCCTAGAAAAGTGAAAGGATAGATTAATTGAATGATGAATCCAAACATGAACTTTAATAGTCAAAGACATCTATAAGCAAAACACCCTAAGGTATGTTTATAGAGCCACTTTAATTAGTCAGTATTCAAAACAGCTTTACACACATGAGTCAAGTTTCAATATATTTTAAATATGCATCTCTTCTAAATGAGACAGTTGAGGTCTTAGAAACCAAGCACAGGCCCTGGAATCAGAACATGAGGTGCGAGTCCTGGCTCTGCCCATTACAAACTCTGAAAGCAAATCACGCAACTTTCCGCAGATGTAAAATGGAAAACTCTAACGGGCTGCCACGAAGATTAAACGATAATGGATGTGAATGTGCTTTGTAAAAAAAAAAAAAAAATGGATATATCATTTCCTCAAAGGAGTGGAGGAGAAAAAATACATTCATAAAAATTTGCTTTTATTTAATTAACAGCCCTATTGCTAATGCCTACATAGGCACTTAAGATGGAATACATTTTCATTTACAGATAATGATGCAAAACCCAAGAATTCTGGGTTCTTTCTCAGCCTATTATCTCTGACGTTTGCATTAGTAAGGAGAAATGACATTAGTATCAAATGTATCTTAAAAATTACCTGTCATAGCGATTCTCACAAAATTTCAAGAGGAACTATATCACAGTAGTTAATTCAGGCTGTAACGTCAGATAGACCTGCATTCAAATACTGCATCTATTACTTTCTAGGTGTATGACTTTGTAAAAGCCAGCCTGGGTTTTCTATTACAAAAGTGGAAACTATTCACAGTACTAATGCAACAGGTTTCAAAGATTTAAGAGATAGCAGCACTTTATGTACTCAGCAGAATGCCTGGTGTGTAGTGCAGGCCTTATAAATGTCAGCTATGATAACGTCTAAAATGTTGCTTCAGAGCAGATGGAGATCTTTGTTTTCCATTTATTGGTAATTCTTATCCATGAACAAGTACGCTGTCCCGTATGTATATAATGATATGGGAGCTCACATTATTTAACAGCCAGAAGGGAATTTTGATATCTATTGAACAACCACCACGAGCCAAGGTCTATGGCAAACGTTATAGACACAAAGATGAATTAGATGTTGTCTCTAACTTCAAATATTTCTCAGGAAAGTAAGACTCTTGAGGGCAGATACTTGTTAAATTCTGCTCACCAAGATATTTTCAGGTATTAAAATAGTGCCTGGAATACTGGATTTGCTTCTTAACAATTTGTGGAACGAACAGTATTGGTGTTTTTTCTATCATACATATAAATATCTAGATCCAATGTAGAAGCTACTTTTAGTTCTATTTTGGTTACCTAATGAAGAAAAACTGTTAAAAAATGTTTTTATTAGTACAAATACAACTGGAATTGGGTTTAAATCCTAGGATCCTTGAAACAATATTAAAGATTTTCTTACAAAATAAACACAATGACATTTGGCACATTGAAAACAAAATTCAAGAAATGTGCAACAGACATAGGAAAGAACTCACCAAGTGACCAATAACAGATGGGGAACCTGATACCATTTTCTTACTGTGTGTATTAACATTTCCCGCTATTTATTTTACATGATCACAAAATTTCCTTTTAAAGGGATTTAAAATATTGCTCACCTGGTCTTCTTCTCCTCCACCTTCTTCATCATATTTTAAAATATTATCTCTTACATCATCTTCTGGATCAATTAAAAGTTGCTTGGCCTGGCGTTCTTTATCCCGGCGTTTCATCCACACCACAAACATCAGAACGAGGACTGAAGAGTAAATACATAATATTGTCATTTTTAAAGCCTGCCCTGCCTACTCATCATAGTCAACACTAATACCTTATATGGGCCAAAGACTTGGAAAGCATCTTTCACTCTATTATCTATTTCTGGCCTCACATTAAGAGAAATGAGACAAAGCAGGCCCAAGCACCGTTTAGGGTGTGAAGGTGCGTTCCAGTTCTTGCTACACTGGAAACTCACTTGGTGAATGTCTCTGTCCTCAGTTTTATCACCTCCACCTGGGGACAATAGCTTTCTATCTTCACTTCGACTTGCTAGAGGACAGATGCCCTTAACAGAGTGTTCCGTGAAGTCTAAGGACACAAAACAGCAGTAAGTTAAATTGTCACTTGCTGTTTTATTCAGGTTGGTCAGTCATTGTTATGCTCCCAAATTTACAGAGGCTGGCACTTCTCCAGGGGGACAAGGCTTGCCTAGACGACTTGGGTAGTAATTTGGAACCGGGTCAGCAATTGGATCCTGGAATTTTTTGACTCCCAGAGGCCAGCATGGTTCTGCCTCACTATTCTGCATTCTCTTCCGTATCAAACGGCATGTTTCAGCCAAGAAGGCTAGGGGATTAGTTTCAGCACTGAAATAACATTAGGCTTTCGTGCTTTACATTTTGTGCCAGGTCTAAAACTGTAAATTTTCCAGAGAGTTGATGTTAAAATCAACACCGATTCATTTTCCTTCAAAATGCCAAAGTCACTTCTTCATTGCTATCATCCATCACACCTAAGTCTTTCTTGATAAGATTGGCATCTATGGCACATTTCAGTTGAAATGGAAGCATGTCCCAAAGTGCACATCTATGAACGAATTCTGTCTAAAATCTGGGGATATCAGTTTACATCCTGAAGCAAAAGATTTAATGGCTCCGATTTGAGCACATTTTTATTATTGGCCATAAAAGTAAATATCCTCCTTTTAAAGCCAGATAACATGATCTCATTTGCCATTGTTCCAGGGCTAAATCTAGCAAGTGGATTATTAGTATAGCATGCAGGTTTCAAATTATAGCCAAAGTAGTCTCCACACAGGAAGTAAAAAATGCTCAGGCTTCTATAGTAATTGCTTAGAATAAAGGGACAGAATTCTAAATTGCCAGAACACTTGTAAATGGAGAAAACATAAAAGAAATGGCCAACGTTTTCAAGAAAGTGATTGGTGCATAGCATGATCATGCAATAAACTAAGTCCTGCTGCTATTCCACAATAAAACTCAGGGCCCAGGCAATTTATTCTTTTAACCTGCATACTTAGAAGTGGTTCCTAAAGTACTTTCCAGTGGTTAATTTTTTGCATTCCATTGAACCCAAGATTGCAAAGCACCTTCAAAAAGGAGCAATTCCTTAATCTACACTTACTCTAAAGGCAGACAATTTATTGAGCTGTGTAATCATTTCTATTATCCAATGTGCTGTATGTGAAGTACAATCTCACCATTTTCCGCAGCCCTTCAGAAACAAATACCTTGACGCTCGCATGACTGGAGCAGGTTGCTGACTGCGCTTTAGATGAAGGAAAGTGAAGGGAAGCAATATACTTATTTTCCTAAATCATCAACCATGGGCTATAAATTCATACTCAAATCATGAGATAAGTGCTCAAACTTGGGACTGTTTAACATTTTCCTATGAAAAGGGTTTGTGACCGCGCTCCCAGCAATCAGCGTCGGGAAAGGGTGAGAGAGCAGGGGTGGAGGCCTGCCAATGAGGCTTACTGCAAGCCTGTAAGTGCCTCAAACTATGCTCAGGGTTTTTTTTTTTTTTTTTTTCATTCTAAAGTGGACTTGGCCGTCCCACATATGATTGGCAAGAAAATGCTCAGAGGCCAAAGAGAGTTGTTAGGTGACTGTGCCGGGCAACAGCCACAAGTGATTTTGCTGAACGTCCCAGAAGCAAAAGGAACTGAAATGTAAAAGACAGTCCAAGTACTCACTGAGCAGGATGATGATGCAGAGCAGGATGGCGATGATGGCCCCCGTGCCAAGCCCGGCACCCACGATCCTGTCCACATCCGTGCAGTCCCCGTTGGAGTCACACTGGCAAACCTTCACGCGCAGAACGGAAATATTTGATTTGGGAGGATTACCCGAATCTGTGATTATGATGGGGACTTCATAGATACCAGCTTCAAGAAATTTTATCTTTAGATTAAGCTGAGCAAAATCACCTATAGGAAAAAAGGAAAAAAATACAGTTTGATAATTAATACGTAATGTGATGAAAAACACACAGCATTTTCCAGCATGTATTTACGACCTAATAGTATGCATAAAGTAGATTGCGACTATGCTGCATTGTGAAGAACTTTTGGGCTTTAAAGGCTTTTGATATCTTATTTAAATTTTAAGTAGCTTTTAAAATATGTTTAATGAGAAGATTACGAAGCACATAAAAATTAACTTTTCATACCAGGCTTCATGTCTCTCAATTGCACATATATCCAAATAATTAACCTGTTCTTACCATTAAGCCGAGTGATGGTCCAATTTCTCTTAATAGTCACTGGAGATAAAGGAAGATCAAAAGCAAATGGTCCAGCGTTTGGATCAATGTCATAATCAAGTGCCGTAATGTTAATGGAATTGGGGTCTGGAGTTTCACAAGTCTCTGCCTCTTGAGGTAACACTTGAGGGGCATTGTCATTAATATCGAGTAAATAGATCTGCAGCGTTCCTGTTCCACTCATAGGAGGAATTCCTTAAAAGGGAGAAAAATCACAAACCAGTGCTGAGCAGTTCTCTCCAATGAGCCTCGATTAGGATGAAATTCTCAAAGCTTCTTGCCCTTATCACTGTGTAACTTTGGAAAAAATCTAGTTGCCACAGCATCTGGACAAACTGTTTCCAGAGTAAAAGTACTTCTTGCTTCCGTTCTAGAATGACCCTGAGCTGCCACTGCTGCTCTGGAGGAGCTGAGCATGGTGGCAAAGAATGAATGCCCTTGCTGTGGGTTTCCATGCTGTGCTGCCCATCGCTCAGGGCCCGTGTAGGCCACACTCCTCCAGAAATGGAGAACATAGGGCTCATGATCTTATGGACCCTACTCTTGACGGAGAACCAAGGCATGGGTGTGAAAGTGCCAACACAGCTACAACCTATTGAAAGAGTCTCCAGACCAGTGATATTATAGTGAACCCACAGACCTTATCTTGGGAGGAAACACCATGGGGAAAAGAAACGATATTTATTGACCAACCAACTACCTACTTGAGAACGTATTAGGTTGCTCTATATACATTATTTCATTGCAATCCCATCAGCAGGTTTAAACAGATGAGAATCTGAGTGTCTGTAAACTTCTATTGGCCATACACTGTTAGAAGTGATAGATTGTAACTAAGGATTGGTCGGCCCCAAATCCATTCTCGTTCCAGTATGAAATGTTGTCTCTACAACATTATATGATAATCTACCCAATGTGATTTGGCTTCTGCTATATTATAAATATTTTAAAAATAATGACGCCTAGTGAAGCCAAGAGATTTAAGTGACCTACCCAAAGTCATGCAACTAGAAAGGTGAACACACACACAGTACTAAGGATGGGATCAGGAGGAATCTCTACCAAGCTCTTTGAGGAACACGATGGTCCTGAGAGCAGGGAGTGTTAAAGTGGAGGGGTACAGTGGCTGTTATAATATTTGACTACCACCATGATCACTATGATACTCGATAGTTTAACCAATCTTCATATTTATTATCACATTGAATATTTCTAGATCTTATAACAACTTTATAGAATAGGCAACCAACAAAATGATTTATCAATAATGACACTAAGGTACAGAGAGTATAAAAGCTTGCCCAATCATAAAGAAGAAGAACTGGGCCTCCAAATTTAGCCTCGTGATATAAAGTCAAGTGCATTTGCAAAGCATCAAAGCTACATAGATTTAACAGCTTACTTCTCTCCCATATCAAATGCTCTTTCGATTAGAAAACAATCCACCTTAATGAATGAGAAATCTGGTTGTAACTCAAAACCAACATACATACATATAATTTTATGGCTCTTTAAATCTCAACAGCATGATTGAAGATGTATTACTTTAAGTTCTACTGTAGAGGAAAGCTATGGCAAAAACAGCATAAAATAGATACTAATGCTATGTTTTGATGTTCGATGGCAGAGGCTATTCCTACAAAGTTACAACTTTAAACATTTGAACAGGAGGTCCTACATTAGAAAGCATAAGAAATATTGCTTTGGCTCTGTCACCACGTAGATTTACTACAGATAGTAATCTCACTGAATCTTGTTATACGGGATTTGGAAAGCCTCATTGAAATTGTTCTTATCAAAAGTATTGATAGGTAATGTTTCTCAAACTGCACATCTTAACTACCAAATGGAAGCCTATTTTATTAAATAGCAACATGCATAGTTTAACACTAAAAATATTTTTAAATATAGATGTGAGCTGGACATGGTGGCTCATGGCTGTAATCCTAGCACTTTGGGAGGCCGAATTGGGAGAATCAGGAGTTCAAGACCAGCCTTGAGATCAGGAGTTCAAGACCAGCCTAAGCAACAGTGAGACTCCATCTCTACTAAAAACAGAAAAATTAGCCGGCTATGGTGGTGTACACCAATAGTCCCAGCTACTTGGGAGGCTGAGGCAGGAGGATTGCTTAAGCACAGGAGTTTGAGGTTTCATTGAACTATGATGATGCCACTGCACTCTAGCCTGAGTTGTAGAATAAGATCCTATCTCAAAATAAAAGAAAAAGAAATATATATATATATGAAAGAAATATATATATATATTATATATATATATATATGATTCAGTTTTGAAACGATGATGAACACGTAATAGAAATATTTGAGTGGTTAGTTTGTACCAGGCACTGTTTTAAATGCTTTAAATAGAAGCCATTATATGTTCCTCAAAACATTGAGTTAGGTACTGATAACATTATCTCTATTTAACAAAAAAGGAAACCAAGAGATTTAAAACCTCATTGCCAATCCCACAGTTAGGAAGTAGTAGAGCTAAAGTCTGGACCCAGGGGGTCAGGTAGAACTCCAGAGCTTGCACTCTTAAACACACATCACACTGAGAGCTAACAAAGTAAAATATGCCCATCACCAGGTGTACATAAGTCTCTTTTATCTTACGTAGCTGAAAAAGAAAGTGCTCCTCTATTAATCTCAACCAATTAAAACCCAGCAGAGACTCAGAAAGAAAAAAAATAAATAAATAAGGTGCCAAAATATATGTATGTTCCAAAACCAACACCCTAAAGCTCGCTACTCACTTATCTCAATTTATGCACAAAATTAAGAGTTTCCTAGCCCACGGCAGTTGAAACCAGGGAATTAGAAAAAGGAAGATTGCTAGAGACACACATACTGATGGCAGCAAACAGACTGACTGGAAGAAATATCAAAGGAACAACTCAAAGAACACTGTGTCTTAGGGCCAGTGATGACAGACTCAAGGTATCAAAATGTGGCAGGGTATAAGACAACAAAGGTTTATAATCACAGTGCCAGGCTAAGAGGGAAGGTGTATGGACATTGATAATTTTCATTACAGAAGACAGGGAAGTATGTCATAGAAAGCCCATTGGAAATGGAAAATAAAAGTTGAGCTCTTAGTGTAATAAAGGTCAGTTTTCTAGGTAATTGAGTCTTACAGAAAAACCGCAACTCTGGTGCATGTATTTCTGTACATCTACTCTCTTCAATCAACATATAAAATAACACAGTGAATGTATTTAATTACGTACCATTATCAGAAGCAAGGAAAGTGGCATTATATATATTGTTTTTCACATTTGGCGATTCTCTGTCCAAAACAGCAATTGTAGTTATGTGGCCATTCACAGGATCTATTTTTAGCCAATTGGCAGGATCAGATAATTTTGTGTATCTATAAAATGGAAGTGCAGTAAGTTTAATTTTTTGATATGAAACCTAAAAAATAAAGCATATTTTACAGGTTGAATTCCAAATGCAACCGGCTCATTAACTCGCATATTTGTAGATGATGGTTGGAAATACAGCTTTAGCATAGAAAAGTATTTCTGTGACAGTGATCTGGGAGGCATGTTAAGGTTGTGTTTGATCAGATACACAAGAAACATTCCATGGGTGTTTGAGGGGCACAGTCTCTCTGTTGTGGGCCAACGCAGATTGGACAGATCTCTTTAGGCTCTTGTCCAGGCCAACAGATATCAGTGATGCAGACAAAATAGCTCAAATACACGTAAATAAACAGTAGTCCTAATGTATAAGACTTAAGAGAAATTATAATAGATGTTGGATATCACAGAACACTCCTAAAACATTTACCACCTTGTCATTGCAGAGATGAAGCCACAATGGCAAGAGACCTCCATAATCCCATTCCTACTTGGGTTCCCACACTGGGCCAAGCCTCAGGTCTACATCCTTTCCAACCCTTTCCAATGAAGTCCCAGTCCTGAGTCTGTATCAGTGGATTTATTAGCTTAAATTCCTTTTTTATTCAGGCTAGGGTTTAATTTTTCAAGCTTGGATAACCAATGTATAGACTGGAGAAAACATGCTATGTTCTGAGAGGTAAAAGCTGTAGGATTTCAATGCACCTATTAATTGGCTATTTAACTATCTTGATTTCGATGTATAGGGAAATGGAGAACATATGCAGTTATCTGTTAGCAGCGGTTCTGTAAGAAGTTAAATAAAATATAAGCTCATTCTAAAAATGATCATCGCCAGCTATGGGTAACAGTCGTGTGGGGCGGGCTCTGCCATCCATTTACTCCTGTATCAGGAAGGATAAATTAGATTTTGCTGAGGTTGGAAATCTTTATGGATATGTTTTATAAGTCTAATAACTACTGTACAGGTAAGGGATGAAAATAATTAGCTCTTAGATCTTGGTTTTGGCAAGAGCTTTCTTTTCTTCACGATGCGTGGAGGAGAGAGATAAATGTTATAAGCCTCTGACAGTTTCTCATTTACTCACTGTAGAACCTTTTGTGGTGTTTGATATAAAGGCAGAGGCTAAATAATTATTAAATATTTTTTTTAAAAAAAAGGAAAGGTGGCAAAAACAAAGAGGCAAGAGGCATTTTTTTTCTTCTTCAAATAATACATGAGTAAGATCCATTCTTGTATTTCCTATCTAATACAGTCAAGAATTTACCGAGAGGAAAATTCATCAGAGAATTTTAAATTATCTTATAATAAGTAGCTTTAGTTCCAATGAAAATTTCTTACTCAAATAGTAAATTGAAAAAAATTTTATGCACAGCAGAGAACACGATGTAAATGATAAAAACACACCATAAATAGCATTTCATACCTAATGTTTTGCTGCATATATCGATCTGGGTCCTGAGCAGTAAAGGTTGTCAACATGGTACCGGCGTGAAGGCCTTCTTCTTGGCGAATGATCTTAGGGTTTGGGGTAAAATAAGGGTTTTCATTCACATCAATAACTGTAACAGACACAGTTGCGGTTGACTGAGGTGGGTGCTGAATTCCCTTGGCTAATGGCACTTGATTTTCTGCAGCAACAGTAAGGACAAACATCCTATTTGCTTCAAAGTCAATTGGCTGCAACAACAAAAAAAGAGAAACCATATTTTTGCAGGAAATAAGAATATTTGCAGTCTGTAGCTTATTCTTCTAACAACCCCATTTCCAAAACATTAATTTTTTTCATTCACTACATAAGGCTTCTCTCAAGTTTCTGGAAAATGTGCATTAACATGGCCAGTGTTCAAAATATTTATCCCATTTAACCTATTTATATATCTTGTGTCCCTCAAAGATTTATGTTCACAAAATAATGCACATGATTACTGCACAGATCCACTTATTTAAATACATATAAAAACTTGATTATTCTTAAAAACAGCATTGTTGACCCCAAATACTAAATAATGTAAAGTCAAGTGAGAACAGGATAGTCTAAATTCATACTCTCAAACACTGGTATAAATAAAGATCACTCCTCATCCAGGAAAGTTTTTATCAGTCTGTGATGAACTGAAGAAAACAAAACCCAAAAATGTGATTTTTTAAAAAAAATAAAGCCAGATTTATTTGATTTTAAAATATCTTTCATAATCTGAAGTACACATTTTGCAGTACAAACATGTACATATAAACACACCCCTTTTTAAAATAATAGTGTTTTCACATGACAGATGTTTTTCACTTTCCCTTTCTTAGCAAACTATAAAGCTCTGCTATCTTCAAAAGTAATTCTGGGTATTTTATTGGTCTGTAAAAATCCCAATTCTAAGAGCACCATCCTAGATAAATGCAATGTACAAATAACCCTTCATGTAAACATTAACTTGCAAAGTTCACTGACTCCTGCTGTCCCTAGAAAGGTTACCAGGAGTCAAATGATCAGATGTTCACTCTTGATTTCACTTGGTCACCTTCTAGAGGAGGCGCAAATATGCATTACTGTGCGGTAATAATTGGGAAAAAAAAGGCAACCAGGGCTCTCGTGCCATCACTGGTAGCCTGACAATGATCAGAGGTGAAGCTCTAGAGAAAGCCACGTTATCAGCACAAACAGTACCAGTTTCTTACCCTAGACCACCTCCTGACATCTTCAAACACATCGTTTTTTTCTTCTTGCTCTGAAATCCCCAATTCAACTTCCCTTTCTCAAGTATTTTACTTTTTTTTTTTTTTTGAGACCGAGTCTCACTTTGTTGCCCAGGCTAGAGTGAGTGCCATGGCATCAGCCTAGCTCACAGCAACCTCAAACTCCTGGACTCAAGCGATCCTTCTGCCTCAGCCTCCTGAGTAGCTAGAACAACAGGCATGTGCCGCCATGCCTGGCTAATTTTTTCTATATATATTAGTTGGCCAATTAATTTCTTTCTATTTATAGTGAAGGCGGGGTCTTGCTCTTGCTCAGGCTGGTTTTGAACTCCTGACCTCGAGCAATCCACCTGCCTTGGCCTCCCAGAGTGCTAGGATTATAGGCGTGAGCCACCGCGCTTGGCCTCTCACGTATTTTAAACATGACAGGAGAGAAGACAGGAAGTAAGACTGTAATATTTTGAGTGGTTTCATTAGCCACGTTAAACACCCTGGATGTAACATTTATTTATGCTAAGTGGTATCTGCACAGCTCTGAGTCCTTTAATGTGTATGAAGCTCATTTATATCTCATGACTTGGGTACTGTCATCAGCCCCACTTTCTGCATGAGGAACCTAAGATTTATAGAGGTCAAATAGCCAGCCATGATGACACAAGGCTTCAAGGGCAGAGCTGGGATTCCAACATGAACACCTGGGCTCCGGGCTGGTGTTCTGGATCACCTTGCTGTATTTCCAACCCCCATCCCATTCTGCTCACCCATATATATAATTCTTGGCATTAGCACCTGAGTGCACTTTTCTAAGTAAGGCCAACTTTTGGATTCACTTGCAAATCAAGAGTGGGTGGGAGGCAAAGAAGTAAATACCTTCACTAGGTGGTGAAAAGGAGGGGACATTCACTTTCAAGGGCTTTGACACTATAGCTATGCATTTATTATACCTGAAGAACATTTTCTTTGTTTCCAGCACTCAATTGTCTTGTTTGGTCCTTTTTTGACAATTAAAGATCAGAAGAACCAATTTCTTAAAGTCTTGAAAATAGCATTTAAAAATAGCCTTGTTAATGTAAAACCTTTTAAAAACGTAGGCCCTCTTCTAGCCTACTCATTCCATTTTACTTCTGTGATATTTTTTCGTTTGGTCACTACCTAAATTGCTGTGGACATGAGCACAGCACGTGTGATGCTTTGTTCTTAATAGCTATCAATGGTGATCAAAACCTCAGAATGTGATAGAGCACTAATATATCGACTACACTGACAGTTAGTTAACATTGTTGAGGTCAGTTAGTTAACATTGTTGAGGTCAGTCCTGTCTTCAGATTGCTAAAACTGTCCAAACTGATTTAAAAACAATCATATGTCAATGATAATGTGAGAACCTCAACATAAATTAAACAACACATAACCTCTCCAATATACATGAATTCCACATCTAGAGATATTTTTGGGGAAAAAAGTTCTAATAATATTCAATGGCAAAACAATAGGGTAGGGAGGCGTAGAGAGGTTTTTGCTGAGCAGCTGTCAGAGAGATCAATGGCCCAAGGAACACTTACTTTTACCACGGTGACGAGCCCATCATTGCTGTTTGGGTCGGTCTGAATGGCGAACCGCCCTGTGGGATCTCCACCGCTGATCCTGTACTCTGCGTTCCAGGCTGGCGTGTGGGGCTGGTCCTTGTCTGTCACAGTTAGATTAGCTACTATGACATCTACCCTGTTCTCGGGGACTTCACCATAAAACTGTGAGAAAGACAAGACTCAGTCAGAGGAGCGATACGGACCACACAAGACAGCTTGTCTTGATGACCACATTGCCCAATTTTACTGCCCCATTAAATCTTTGCTATCTGCCCTAAATGAGGAGATTGAGAATGCAGATACCCACAGCATTTATGTTTGGCTTTAAACATACTATAACATTTTTCAGTAGTCCATTTTTTCCCAAATTATGTTACAATTTCATTAACATTAAAATTAGCATCCATTTGTGAGTATCTGGGTGATTCATGTGAGGTCAGGGGAAATGTTTTTACTCCAGATACAGATAATTATATGCTGATGAAGTAGCATAAATCAGTCATATAATTCATGCACCTGAAAATATTTGTAAGTATTTTGTTATAACAGCACAAAATCTTTTTAGGAAATTTTTTCCAGGCAGCCTATTTCAATAACTTTAACAGTGGACTATGAGGAAACCAATTACTTGGATGCCTTATTTAAAGCCCTGGTGACAGAAATGTCTGAGTCAGTAGTCATTCTACTATGAGATGAAGCAAGTTCCACCTCCGTTTAATACATTTATTATTCATGACAAAACTTCTTGGTAATGGACCACAGACCCAAAGTTGTGTGAGTGACAGGTTGTACTTACTGTCATGGCAGTAAACTCTGGGGGATTGTCATTGACATCTGTCACCGTGATGACGGCCGTGGCTGTGTTAGAAAGGCCGTATGTGGGATTGCCTTCCATGTCCGTAGCTTGAATTATTAACGTATACTGTTGCACTTTCTAAAAAGACATAAAGATAACAACTTAAATGAAACTAATTCCTCACGAAGACATAACAGTTGTTCCGTAAATGGCTCTTTATTACACGCACAGAACACCACATCATTCATTCTGATTAACACGACTTGAGATTTCCCAAGTGGAGTTTACTTTAACTTACAAAGCACAGGTCTGGTCCTTGTCTAGAGAGATTTAACTGTGTATATTCACTTGTGCTCCCCGAAAGGAACGCATTGCAGATGTGTGACATTCACAGCTAAGCTGAAACCTCCATCTGGTTGCAACCTTTCCCTTCCCTTCACAAGACTGCGATCAAGCATTCAAGTCATTTGGTTAATATTTGCTTTCTCATGTGTTAATTTCTACCCAGTTTAGGATACTAAAGACAATGAAGAATCTCAAAAGAGGGAGAAGGAAGCATATATAATTTATAAAGTATACAAACTTTCCTTTTATATATTCATGAATATATTCTTTCTATTATAACAGGATTGATACAATATTTTTCCCTAATTCCCATTAGTATATATTATTCAAAACTATATAGAGGAGATGTACAATATTCTTAAACAAAGTCAAACTTAATTAAAAGGTTTGTTTATATCCGTAGTCCTGGAACATAGTAGGTATGGAATAATTGATATTCAAGGGATTTGGGCATAATGTTCATTGTGTATAATGCTTTGAGCACAGACCTTTAATTCATACAGATATGAATACATTTTCACCTAGATAGTCATTATCAAACAGGCATCCATTACTTTCAAATCCCAGGGTGACTGTTTTAAAAGAGAGCCAAATTAAGCTGTAATGTATCTTGGAGAAAATGTTGAAATTGTCTAAGAAGTCAGACACTTGCTGACAAAGTTTTATATCAGGAAAACCTAGCTAAAAACAATCTCTAAAATCATTTGGAATCTCTGTGGAAATTGGCACAGACAAAAGAACTATAGATCATTTTCATAAATGTTAAAACATTCTGAACAACAAAATCCACTTCTTCGTACAAAAATAAACTGTCACTGCAAAGTGTGGTTTTCCCTGATTCTAAATATAGCTAACATTATGAATAGCCATTCTTAAGGGATTTCTGGAGCTTGGATGGAACAGACACAAATTGTAGCTTTTGATTTAGTTGTCAGAGGGAGGGGCCCAGGAAAGAAAGGAGTAGGAGGGAAAACCACACCTCCCACATTAGATTTTAAGTCTCTGTCCATCCAACTGCCAATCTCCAGCAGTTATTTATCTTAGTTATTTTTTATCTTCCTCAAAGAGAAAATGCCAATTTTTTTTGAATAAAAAAGAAACTACAAAGAAATAGCGCTGGTTGATTCATTTTATTTAATAATTTTTCACTATAGTGCTAGCGTAGGCTACAACACTTCTCAAGGGTTTCTTTCTCCCAATTAAGAGTGTCACTTTAGTGACAGAATTTTGAAGGGCATTCAGTCCAGCTTCCCATCTGAAAACCATGAAAATAAAAATTCGTTATGACTTTTGAAATGCCACTTTTGTTAGCTATTTGCAGAAACAGATGAACATTCTCAAAAAAAAAAAAAAGAAAAGAAAAAAAAATGGAGCTTATTTTTTTAAGAAGGTAAAAAGCCCAATAGATATTATATGAAGGTACAGTTCTTTCCTAATGTTTATTCTACAAAAATTTTTAAAATTTGTGTAGGCGTATAATATATAATTTTCCACTGAGCTGCAATATTGAGATCAGTAGCTACTCGAAATTTCCCAATCGATTCAAGATAGTCTTGAAATCTTTAGGTTACAAAAGAACATTTGTTACTTCTAAAATATGATGTCTCTTCAAGTAAAAAAAAAATCCACTTGGTAAATAATATGATCTCCATTTTCATATTACATTTAGTAAGGAAGCTTTCACAGCTTATGTTTTCAACAACCGAATTATTTAGAGCTTCTTGCGTCATTTAGTCATTGGGCATCTGGTTCCGAATGACTGACATTTAGATTCCATAAGATTTCACTTGTCACCCTCACAATCCTTCAGCTGATTAAGGGAATTCTGCTTCAAAACTTCTCCATGTTTTCTGTTTTGGATGGGATCAAATCTCAACTCATCTGCTTGCTGTCTGTCAATCCTTCCCTCACAATTTCCTCTCTAAAATAGGCACACCCGCCTATTTCACCAAAGTTATCCCTTCTCATTCCCTTATGCCTGAAGTGCCCAACCACCGGGCTGCAGACTGGCTGCCTGTTAGGGACTGGGCTGCAGAACCCCACTAACCCTCCCTCCTCCTGTCTGTAGAAAAATTGTCTAAAATTGTCTTCCATGAAATTTAGGAACGGGTGGGGCGCACAGCAGGAGGTGAGTGGCAGGTGAGTAAGCAAAACTTCATCTGTATTTACAGCTTATTTACAGCTGCTCCCCATCACTATCATCACCGCCCGAGCTCTGCCTCCCAACCCCGGTGGAAAAATTGTCTTCCATGAAACCGGTCACTGGTGCCAAGAAGGTTGGGGACTGCTGCCTTATGCCGCCCTGGAGCTTTGTGTATTATCTGTAAATGCCCCGTCATGACCCTATGCCACTGCATGCGGCATTTCCCTCTGCCTAGAACCAGTGGTTCTCAACTGGGGTGATTTTCCCCACCAGGGGACATTTTTGGTCAATTACAACTAGGAGTGCTACTCACATCTAATGGGTAGAGGCCAGGAATGCTGCTAAATGTCTTGTGATGCACAGTACAGGCCCTTACGACAAACAATTTTCCAATCCAAGATGTTAAGAGTGTCATGGTTGAGAAACCATTGCCTAGAATACCCTTCCCTTTAATCTGAACCTGGCCAACGGGCAGCTTAAAGTCATCTCAGAGATGACATCTGAAAGTCCTAGAGGCAGAGCTGTTGTCCTCAGGACTGTGCCCTCACAACACATTCCTGTCCCTGTTTATAGTTTATACGGCTGGTATCAGTTGTATGCCTGTCCTAGCTCCATTCCATACACGGGTGTATGTGCACACACACACACACACACACACAACCATACCCTCAGTCCTTTGTTCATGTTTGTGTTGCTGCTATAGATCATGGTGCCTGACACAGAGTAATCAAGCAATAAATACTGTTGACTTTGTGGCTGTAGAGATGAATGGATGAGAAACCTTGTGCCTTGCATTGCCTTATAAAAATCATCTCAGGTTAAGGACAAAAACAACTTTTAATTTCGTGGATAGCTATAATTTACTTATTAAAACATATGCTGGGAGCATAAACTAGCTCACTATTTCCTAAACTGCAGTGATTCATACATAATCTTCCCAATCCTGCCATATCCTCATATTTCTATACCATGAGTCACTTCCTATTTATCTTGACATTAACACCCCTTTTTAAGGCTTAAATGAATTTATTGTAAAAGTGCCACAAATGGTACTAGCATCATTTGCCATAAATATAACTGTAAAAAATAAACAACATCAATTCTTGGACTCCTTCAGTCTCTATTTGATGGAGTAGCATCTAAAAGGCCAGGCTCCGTTGCTGTCCTAGAAACTTCTCTGCATGTACCGATGAAAATCATTATACATGTCATGTAGCACACTTTTGAAATGCTGGACTAGAGTGATATCAGTAAATGAGGAGTGGAGAACATTCAGTCATTCATTTTGCACAAGTTTACTGAATGTCTACCGGATGCCAGGCAGTGTCACATTTACTTGGATATGGCCTTGCTTTCATTACATAAAGGACCAGAGAGAAGTAGCTCACAGGACCAAATGTACCATCCAACTGTAGTAAGGGGAAAAAGAAGAGATGCAAGGAAGCTTTGATAGAGACATTGCAAACAGCCCCCTAAGCTTGGAGGGTGGAATAAATGCAAGAGATATTTTGGGGGTAAACAGAGAACTTGATGACTAAACAAACTGGGGGGGGGCTGGATAGTGCATGGTAAAAGCAATTAGTCCATAACCTTGGGTGATGGGGGCAAGGTACTGATCACAAGAAATAGGAAATTTGTCATAAATCACAGATTTTGGCAGATGACAGATTTGCTTTTGGATAGACTGGGTTAGGGGATGGACGGTTGAGTAATAATGTCATCAGATCATGGTAGGGAAGCACAGGTTTGTGACCTTGTTCAAATTCTTAATTGCTAAGCTCCGGTTCCCTCATCTGTGAAATGAAGCTGAAAGTACTACCTACCTTGTAAATTTGTAGTCTAGAATATTTTTTACATACTTATTGTATGCTAATACTATTCTAAGGGCCTTGATAATAAAAAAAAAATAACTTTTATTGAAATTGAGCATTATGCACCAGGCACAGTGCTAAACACTATACATTAATTATCCTATTTAATGCTCACCATAATTCCGTAAAGAAGGTGTTTTTAATCACCATTTTACAGATGAGGAAACTGAGGCTTAGGAAGGTAAGGAAACTTGTCTTGGACACCCAGCCATGAGTGGCAGAGACAAGGCATGACCCCAGGTTTCTCTGAGTCGAGAGTCTGTATCATTAATCATTCCACTATATCAGTGACTCTAAGAAAGTCAGAACGCTGTGTATGTGCAGCATGTGCACATCTTGAGTGGGGGAAGCAGGCAGGAAGCCAGATTTCAAACAGACGATGAAGAAGTGGGAGCTGAGCAGTGAGTCTGGGCTGCCCTTTGGAGAATTCTGACACTGAACTGAAGGAGAAAGTCGAATAACTTGAACATTGCTTCAGGGTTCACGTTCAGGGTAAAAAGATAAGGAACATCTGCCCCACTGGACGTGTCGAGACTAGGAATCTAGCTGTAATTTCTATGTAACATAGTCTTTGTATGTAGAGAGATGGGCACAGACTACTGTGGGTGCCCAGAGAAGGAGCTCAGAACTGGCTGTCAAAGGGTGAGGATTAGCTTATCATATAGTGATGAGAAAGAATATTTAGGCAGAGGAAACAGCAACAGAAGAATAGAAAATGTCTATTGTGCAAGGAATTGCATGTGGTGCTACGAGTGGTTGGGTGTCATTTGGCTGTAAGTGGGAGGCAAGAATTCTGGAGGGTTAGGCTAGAGAAGACTTTGAGGCCAAGGTTGTAGAGGGTCTGGAATGCCACATTAAAGAGCTCTGACTTCATCCTATGGTGCATGGTGAGCCATTTAACCACAGGGAAGACTCAGTGTGTTTGTAGATTACAAAGGAACACATAGAGAGGGGAGAATGGAGCCACAATAGCAAACAGAACACTCCTTCAGAATAGAACTAGGAGTTGAAGGTACAGATCAAAGGATTATTAAGCCTGGAAAACAGGAAGAATAATTCTTTCTTCTTATGAAGAGAAGTAAAGCGATAGCATTCAATCATGAGATGCTGAGGCTGCCATTTGTGACGGCAACGGGGAAAACGATAGCTCCTATTCACCGGGTACCATGCAGGATGCTTTATGCATTGTGGCATCATGCTCTGTTGTCATCATCCCGTGAGGTAGGCATTATACTGCTACTCTCCCCATTTACAGTTTCGGGAGCTGAGGTTTCAGATTAATACACTGAAGGTCAAATAGCACATCACAGGGAGAGCCAGAACTCAAACCTGGGGAAGCAGGGGTTGTCATCAGCAGTCCTGTGCAAAAAGGGCAGATGGACATGAAAAGAAAAGGCTGGAAAAAAATAAAAGAAGATGAAAATGCCAGGGATAGCCACCACCAAGTCATGTGACAAGAAGTAAGACAGAGATAAAAAAAAAAATCGAAGACTGGATCATGCGGTGGCTATAACTTTAGGCTTGGAGAACCTGAAGAATTGATATTTTTTAAACTTGCAGATTAAAGAAAAATAAAAAGCTGAACCTCAGTAAGCATTTTGATGATTAGGAGTTCAATCACTTAAAGGAGTCATACATCCTGGGAGAACGACGACTAAAATTACTTTTGACAGAAAGGAAACTGTGAATTCTAATAGAAATAAAGGAATTTCAAGCCTGCAAGAGGCCTGAAAAAGTCAAAGTAATTTATCCCCGGCCTCAGGAAGAATTACCATAAACCATCTGAGATAGATACATTTTTTGTATGCTAAATGACTTTTAGAAAAGGAAGGTTTTTCCATAATTTCCCTAGTAATTCATTGTTGTGTTTAATAATTTCACTGTCAAGAAGCTATTTCTCATACTGTATCTAACCCATAATTCTTTAGTTTCAAATCCATTTCTGTATTAGTTTCATCAAAGAGTAGTGAATAGCTTCTCCAACCACTGGAAGATAAACTTCACCACGACTATGGCCTCATTGCAGGCTTTCATCCTCTACACTAAATATGGTCTCTTTGATTTTTAAACACGTTTGGTCTGCTTTAGTAAAAACTATCATTAATTCTTCCTGTCTCTTTCTTGCTGTAAAACAGCCAGTCTAAATGTGACAGGAGTATTACTGTATAAAAACAGGATGAAACCCAATTTTTGTATCTCACAATGACAGTGTGAATGAAAGAGAAATATTAGGATTACGAAATGAGCTAAATCTACTTGGTATGTGAGCAACCTGGCACTCAAGAGAGAATATTGAAAATTACCCCATATTCTCAAATAAATTACGGCATTCACACTGAGTTTATTGGCATATAAAAATAGCATTTCATACAGTAATGAAGAAGGGAAAAGACATACATGTTCCAAATATCACTACACTAAAAGCACTACTGCAAAAACGAAACACATCTCGACAATCTTTGATGCAAAACATTCCTAAAAAATGAATTGCTGACACCTGGAAGTTAATAGGTTTAATGTCATGGGCATACATCTAAGTCCTAAGTAAGGCTTTCAGCTCAGAATAAAGTCATCTTGATTAGCTCCTATTACTTTACTGTAGTGCTTCTAACACTATCTTGTGTATATAATTAATTTCGATAGTACTGTTTTCTTCAATTCAATTCAAGTGAATGGTACTATGACAAATAAAAGCATCGAGAAAAAACAACTCCTAAAATCCTTGTCAATAATATTTTATTGCAGTGGGTATAATGTTTCCTTTTGACATATATAATCAGAAGTCTCATTACAGTAAAAGCTGGCTCAGCCAGAAATGTACAATGCACGAATCTCTGTGAGTTGGCACTTTGATAATTCACTCAAACAATGATTATGGTGGTCAAAATAATGACCTTGACAATCTATAAGAAAATGGTCAGGACAGAATAGAGAAAGGATGTAAAATCTTCATTAGGACTGGACTTTTCAGGAAAGGCTATAAACAGAGCTTAAATCAGAACCTGAAAAACTGGAAGGTCCAATATAAAAAAAAAAAAAGAGAGAGGTGCAAGTCATTCTTGGCAGAAGAACTCACATGAACAGTAACACAGAGGTACACAGAAGCTCAGCGAGGTGAGGACTGTCACACTGAGACAAACCGGCTGGACTTAACCAAAGTATTCCTTCCCTCTCAGACTGTGACACTACATAGTCTTTCAATGACTTCAACATTTTATGACTTTTCAAGAAAGTATTATATCAGAAGTGTGTTTTTCTGCCTTTTAAAGTGCTTGTCAGCGGAATTAATGTAGTTACTACTGTTGAAATATAAGTAAATTAATCTTAGTTAAGGGACTAGTTCTAATAAAAGACACGATCTACTGTGCCCTATATCAGCCTATCCACAGGGGCTACATAAAAACCTAATCTCATCCATGTTATCTGCAGCCTCCAAAAAATACAAGTGTTAAAAATTACTCCAAGTTTATGCACATGTCATTTTGCCATGATGTTTAATTAATTCCGCACAAAAACCTTTGACAATAAGGGTAAACTGAGGAAATGTTAAGCAGTTTCAAAAGTTAGATACCAGAGTATTGGTTTAACTTAGTCAATTATCACATTAAATATGACACAGGCTAGCGATGAATGATTGGTATACAATACATTATTTCACCAGCCTGAAGTTCTATAGAAAATCGTACCACAGATTTCTTAACGAAAATTATTGCATTTGAATAATATTGTGTATATATTATTACCTGGAGATAAAGTGTACGCGATACTGTGCACCTTTAAGAATAAAAGCTGGAACCTATTCTACTAAGTAAGTATCCCAAGAATGGAAAAATAAGCACCACATGTACTCACTAGCAAATTGGTATTGACAATATACTGATCAACCCCTCAGTGGATATACAGGAATAACATTTATTGGGTGTCGGGAAGATGGGAGGGTGGAGGAGGGGATGGGTATATACATACATAATGAGTGTGATGCGCACCATCTGGGGGATGGACACGCTTGAAGCTCTGACTCCAGGGGGAAAGACAACACATGTAACCTAAACATTTGTACCCCCATAATATGCTGAGACAAAAAATAAAAAAAAGAATAAAAACAAATTCAAATACAGTTTTTGATTGGCTTACTTCTCGATCAAGTCCAGCTGCCACTGTGATAATATCCCCCGTCTCATTGTTGATTGTAAACATGTTGGGTGAAGGGGTGCTTGGAGCCTGAGACAGAATTCTGTACCTCAACATCCCATTGAGGGCATTTGGATCGTCAGCGTCAATAGCAGTTACGGTCATCACATATGTTCCTAGAGACAGTGTACATGGAAAATGAATGGTTACCCTTCATTTTAGAGTCCCCTAAAAAGAAGGTATACTTACTGTTTTGGTCTGTCTTATTTGCATTTTTCAAAACAAACATTTGAAATTATTTAGACTTGATTAAAAACCCTACTGATAAGAACGGTAGGGTTCTTCTTCAAAAATTCTCACTTCAAAAAATATAAAAGATGGTCTAGAGATACTTGAAAAGAATATGGTACAATATACATATGTATGAAGACTCCATTTTTCCTTAACTTAGAAGACAAATTCACTTTATGATTCCAAAAAAGTCCATGTCAGACCTTAATTTATATGAAATGCAAATAATGGGAAATATGGATACCGTTAGAAACATATTTTATGGCTGCTGATGCCTTCCCTCTGTCATATTTTCTTCCGCTGTGTGATAATGTCTAAAATGACATGCTGAGTGTGATACTCCCTAGTGCCTCAGTCCCTTTCAGAAAGTAGGCTGTGTGCATAACGCGGCATACTCCATTTCCTCAGGTCATAAGACGCCATTTCATGCATTACTGTTTTGGTACATTGAATAGAGATTTGGCACTGTGGTTCATTATTTCCTCAGAGATTAAAAGAACATTCTAACCAGCATAGGGACCTCAATTTATTAGATATTTTGGAAAAGAAATCTAGAAAGCATTAGGATCAAATTAGTTCAAACTAGCTAGCCGAACTGTAATTTAGAAGTAGACTGAGAAATAGTTGCTGTTTAGGATGGCTTGTTCTATGGGATCCTTTTAAGAACTGACTTATAAAATTTTCTATCTCTTATCTTCCTCTTGAGTACTTTCTAAGCTCAGTTCTACTTCAGACCCTATGCACATGGGCTGTTCTCTCTGCATGTTATACGTGGGGCTCAGAAGTAAGCATGGCTTCATCAAATTATTCAAATCTCCTTTTAAAACTTGTCTCTCTAAATAATTTACCTTTTTTTTATTATGTGCCATCCCTACACCCTTATTTGTCAAAACTTTCTTTGTGTATTGTTTGGTTGTTTATTTATTTATTTTGTATTTCCTCCCCCTACTAGAATTTAAGCTCTAATAGGGCAGGAACTAGCTTGTCACTGCTGTACCCACAGTGCCAAAACAGGGCCTAACAGCCCATGCTTTTATAAACATTTGTTGAATGAATGAATGGACAGTTAAAAAAAATCGTGTTTCAGAACCTTGAGCCAAAATACTGATCACGACACATTTTAACTGGATTCATCACATTATCAAACCTTGCCTAGAGCCATATTTTCAAACTGAACAGAAGAATCGCAGGAAATACACTCAAGAAATGTTCTTACTTCTAGTGATCACTGAGAGCCTGTCTTTATTTATTTATTTATTTTTAACAGATCCATCCAACCAGGGAATGAAAGTCTTGTTTATGGGGGACTTACAGGGAAATTCATGGTCAAATGGATAATAAATCTAGGTTTAATCATTTACTTTCAACAACTTTTGTGAATAGTGTTTTAATAAAGTTTGAAATAATAGAGAAAAAAAGAAAAGAAGTGATTAAAAAAAACAAAAAACTTCTTCAACCAAAAAAGCTCAGTGTTTATTTATCTTTGGAATATTTGTGTGATAGTTGTGTTTTAGTAAGGATATGTTTAACTTGCTTCAATTTTACCGTGTTTTAAAACACTGATGAAAGCTACTTTGAAAATGTGACTCAGAAGGGAAGGAGCCAGGGAGAGCTGAACTTCCTGTACAGCCCCTGCCCTCCCTCCAGCTGCTCCTTGCCCCAGAGGTGTGTCTTTTCTGAAGATGCAGAGAGGTGCACTTGGACCAAAAAAAAAAAAATGCATTTAAGGCACAGTTTGTTATAGTTATAAGTTGATGTATACATAAGGGAGCTATGTAAACTCATATGGATGACATAAGTATAATGTAGTACAATTTTAAATATTGAGGTTATTTTAAATACAAAAAGCAAAAAAAAAAAAAAACAATTTAGCTAATCAAATTTCTCTAAAATACCAAATCATCACAGGAAGGTTGGCCAAACATTTACTTTTACTATCTCTAAACCGACCTTGTCCACTAGTTTTTCAAACTAAAAAGGCCTTTCTGGCCTGGTCATTCTACTCTGACTGAAGTCTATAGTGTTTTCAGTAAGAACCCAAAACCTTGGTCAAATACCACTTTACAATGGTGGGAGATTTTCAGCAAGTGCTGTTTCTAGGCCAGGGTACTTTCTATTATGCTGGTTGAAGAGAGAGGGCTGCAGACATAAGAGCCAAGCTAAAAGTAGCCCTCCTGTATAGCTAGAGGGCAGCAATCACAGCTGTCACCCAGCCCCTTCCTTGCTCTTGGTTTTACTTCACCACCTGGTCCCAGGAACACCAGGTATCTTTAAGGATTTCCAATATTGTTTAATGGCTGCTGTGTCTCCTATGATCAGGTCTGTACTTTATAAACAGAAAGTCTCTAGTGTCCTGGGGCTCCCTTTCAAGCTGCACTGACTGTAATCAACTAAAGCAGAATGAAAGAATTCTATAGATTCTAAGGGTAGAATCAAATACTGCAGTACATATGATTTTCAAAGGTGGGAAAGATCATCATGGGGAGTAAGAAGTATATTTTTCTGTTTTTCTCATTTCAATCAGTTTTTCCCTAAGTTACCTTCCTTTTTCCCTAAAAGCATTATGAATCAAAGAAAATGACATGAAATGATTCATATGATTTTCTTCTTTTCTGGTTTATCCAATAGTACCTGTTACACTACACTTCCTCCAGTTATTCCCAAATTATTATCTTCAAACTTACCAGGCTTTGATCCCTCAGGAACTGTGCCATTCCAAACCTGGTGTAGGAACTCAGGTCTGTTGTCATTCATATCAATAACATTGATGACAATGTCAATGGGGTTCTCCACTTGATTTCCATTAATATCTACTGCATGTGCCCTCAACTGCAAAAGTAATTAGAAGATAAAACTATGTAACAGATCTGTGTCTGTGAGAAGATAATATGTACAATCACAGTGCTATTAAAATAGCAAGAATAAACTTAATAACAGCTGAAAAACAAAAGCTGTTCTTCCCAACCAAATTTAAGTTAGCCCAAGTCCATGTAACTAGGGTAGGTATAGGCACAAAAAGCCACCATTTACTACATACAAGGCATTATGCTCAGAGCACAATGGATTTTAAGTCATTTAATCCACATACAAGAGTGGGGCAGAAACTGTCAGCAACCGAAGATGAGGAAATTGAGCTTCAGAAGGGCTAGGACACTTATGAAGGTCACTGTTCTCTGCTGACAGAACTCAGATCCCAAACCAGTTCTGTCCAACTCCAAAGAAGACCGAGTCAGGGTAATTAAAAATGTGAGACTAACACAGAGTAGTCATAGAGATTAAGAGAACAGAAAAGAAATCTAGAAAGGGTTAAATGCACATAGGAAATTTTGACTTTTTTTTCTTAATCATAAAAGTTACTCATAAACATTGAAAAGACACGCATATATATAAGATAGCTGTTCCTAGGCCGGGAGTGGTGGCTCACGCCTGTAATCCTAGCACTCTGGGAGGCCGAGGCGGGCGGATTGCTCGAGGTCAGGAGTTCGAAACCAGCCTGAGCAAGAGTGAGACCGCGTCTCTACTATAAATACAAAGAAATTAATTGGCCAACTAATATATATAGAAAAAATTAGCCGGGCATGGTGGTGCATGCCTGTAGTCCCAGCTACTGAGGAGGCTGAGGCAGAAGGATTGCTTGAGCCCAGGAGTTTGAGGTTGCTGTGAGCTAGGCTGACGCCACGGCACTCACTCTAGCCTAGGCAACAAAGTGAGACTCTGTCTCAAAAAAAAAAAAAAAAAAAATAAGATAGCTGTTCCTGTCTCCAGCCTCAGTTCTCAGTTTTATAGATATTTTTTAGGAATTTTATCTTATTTTCCTTCTTAAATAAATATAATCACTCATCTACTCTTGGTACAGCATCTTCAACATTTTTTCATGAAGCATAGAGATCCATTTCATTCTTTTCAATGTCTGTGTAGTGTTCCATTGGATTGGACATTTTGAAATGGAATGCTTCTATGGTTTTCCCAAGTCTGACGCTGGCTGTTGGTTTCTGTTGGACATGCTCGATCATGTTAAAGAAGCTACAACATATCTTTTTTTAAAATTTATTTATAGGTCATTAAACCCATGAAACAATGTTATTGCCTTTCAACACCTAGGGAGATAATCTTTTCCTCCCTGACTTATTTAATACTTTATATTACATTAATAGATTCTTAATACTGAAACTTAATTATAATTATACCAAATACTGAATCTAAATACTGAACTTTAATACTTGCAATTCTGCAACTAATTCTAGTTTGTTATGGGTATTGCTCTTTTAATGTGTAATAAGCAAGCATTTGGAGAGCAATAGTTTATCCCAAAATTGATCTGAATATATTTATTTACAGAGTTTTAACCACAGGAGTTCAGATGGTAAAAACTCATATCGGAAGAGATATTGAAGTTTTTTCTGTATTAATATCATTTATATTCATAAATTAGAAAGTAGTCTAAAATAAAGCTCGGTCTATTGTAAGCTACCTTTATGAAGTTTCCCTATTAATGCTGTGTTATCTCTGTACAAGGTTTGGAAGATTTACTTCTTTCTCTGTGTTTGAGAACAATGTAAAAAGCATTCAAATAACCTGTTCCTTCAAGGATTTTTAAAGAATGGGCTGATGAAGCAATCAAAGCCTTTGAGAGGAGGGAGTATTCAATAATAGTGCTTAAAACATTATAAATTTCTCATATGCTTATTTGTCTTTTGGAGTCCAGGGGAATCTATTATAGTTTAAAAAAATCCAATAATTTTAAAAGCTTGTACAAATGCAAGAATTCAACAAATATCTTGATGGGCAAAATAGAGTCTAGAAACAAACAAAAGCACATGTGGGATAAAAGTTTTAATGATTAAGTGTCCATGATAAATCAATGGGGCCACTAATTTGATACATGCTGCTGGGACAACAGGCTGGTCATAAAGGAAGAACAAATTGAGTCTATATCAATATCTATTTTTCCTTTTATTAAAATAACTAGCCAGGGCACGTGGCTCACGCCTGTAATCCTAGCGCTTTGGGAGGCTGAGGTGAGAAAATTGCTTGAGCCTAGGAGTTTCAGACCAGCCTGAGTACATAGCAAGACCCTGAGACCCCGGTCTCTACTAAAATAGAAAAATTAGCCAGGCGTGATGGCACATGGCTGTCGGCCCAGCTACTCAGGAGGCTGAGGGCAGGAGAATTGCTTGAAGTTTGCAGAAGTTTGAGGTTGCAGTGAGCTGTGATGCCACTGCATTCTAGCCTGGGCAATGGAGTGAGACTCTTGTCTCAAATAAATAAATAAAAATTAAATTAAATTAAAATTAAAAATAATAAAATAACTCCACAGAGATTTAAAATTTTAATGTAAAAAGTAAATACAACAGACAAAATTGAGAGATTGAGGTCTTGGAGTAGGGAAGGCTTTTATCAACAACTCTGGAAAGCCAGAATGTATGAATGTAAACAAATGAATTATTCAGTGCAAAAACTATTTTGTACTATGGTAAAAATTATAAACAACAGAAGAACAAAATATCAAACTGTACTAACATCCTTAACAGATAAATGGTTCTTAATAACAATAAGAGAAAAAGATAAACAATCCAAAAGAAAATTCAACATAACATAGGAATAGGGAATTCACTTTGATTGTAATGCTATGTATCCATTAACAATGTTGTGATCTCTATATATTTTACATACAATAGTGACCCCATTCATAACAATGTGCTCTTAGCCACATACTTAAGGCAAGTATCAACATGTAAAGAGTAATGAGATTTTAGGCAATTTCACTTTCTTCTTTGTTCATGCTGGGCACTATTTGTTTTTTTTATCAAGAACATTCATCAATTCTGTAAAAACAATAATATTATTCAAATAAACCAAAAAGGCTACATACAAATGCATTTCTTAAAACTCTCAGTATTAAGGTTTTCAGGCCGGGGGCAGTGGCTCACGCCTGTAATCCTAGCACTCTAGGAGGCCGAGGCGGGTGGATTGCTCAAGGTCAGGAGTTGGAAACCAACCTGAGCAAGAGCGAGACCCTGTCTCTACTATAATTAGAAAGAACTTAATTGGCCAACTAATATATATATATATATAATTAGCCAGGCATGGTGGTGCATGCCTGTAGTCCCAGCTACTGGGGAGGCTGAGGCAGGAGGATTGCTTGAGCCCCAGGAGTTTGAGGTTGCTGTGAGCTAGGCTGACACCATGGCACTCACTCTAGCCTGGGCAACAAAGTGAGACTCTGTCTCAAAAAAAAAAAAAAAAAAAAGGGTTTTCAGACTTATAGAAGAGGTAATGGCAAACTTTTCAGACATTTAGGATTAGTAGAGTATTATTAATACAGAGAATTCTCAGCTGGGCGGAATCTTACATGAAACCGAGCTATCAGCTCGCGGTCCAGGGGCTTTGTCACGGACAGCTGACCTGAGATGGGGTTGATAATGAAGATACCAGTTGGAGGCTGGTCAGCTCCTGGCCCAGTCACGCTGTACCGCAGTGAAAGGTTTTTATCTCTATCAGACCTGATCTGAGGATCAAGAAAACAATCACATTAAACGAGAGACTGAACGAGCTCATTATCAGCGACACGGGGCACGCCACACTTCATGCCCTTTTCCAGTTACAGACTTACACCATCTCTTCCCAGAAAACCACTCACACTCTCCCAGTCCCTGCTCTTCCTCTCTGCTTCTTGGTGATAGGCTTCAAAAGAGATGTCATCCAACACCAGAAAGACTGGGGGCAACATTAACATCTAAGAGAATACTCACTAGGCGCAGTGCAAAAAGTCACAATTTAGGAGTGTCAGCGTTTAAACAATCCAATTCTACCCTGGGAGTTTCTAGGTTAGACTATTTAACATACTACCAGGTGTCCAATTTAATTAAAATAAACGTTGTTTACCTTTTTGCATCAGTTACAACACGAAATCATTGTCTAACCCGTAGTGTGAAATATCCTCTAATGGAACTCTAATATTATGATTGAGCCTGGATGTCAGATTTCTGTACTTGCATTTTGCTAACGCTATTCATTACAACCAAAGCCTTTCCGTCTCATTTTAAGGTGACACCTAATACTAACATTCTTCATTAATAATAAAGCATACAAGAAAGGATTTTAAAAAAATATTTTTGTATTCTCAAACATTATATCCATTATAGGCTCATTGCCTTTTCCAAATACGACTACTCTCAGGAAAATTAAGTCTGTGGACAAGCAGTCACAGGAGGCAGAACAGGGTATGGAAGGGGAAGAATTGCAGGCAGGCACAGAGATAGTATGGACTGAGCAACACTGCTTGGAGATAATAATAAGAGACCTTTACTTATTAGGTACTTACATGTAATCCTTTAATAGCTTTAATAGAGTCTAGTTGTGTTTTTTTAAGTTAAGGCATGAATTCTCTTTTTTCCCCACACTCCACTGAGAAAGCACCTTTATTTTGGGGTTATGTTCATTGTTAAACTGAATTATAATGTGCATTAAGACAGAATATACAACACAAATAAGTGGCTTATTAAAAAAAAAAACAGTTTTCAGTATGTGTTGGAATGATAAAATAACCATATAACCATTAAAAAATAACATTTATATTTTAATAAATGGGAATACAAAAACTCTGTCTTATATTGTTCTTTTGTAATAAATAATGGGTTGCTAATTTTACTGAACATGCAAAAATATCTAATTTCTTTCTGTATTTTATGGTATATATCTGAGAAGCAAAAAACATACTTCTCAGATTTGAAGGCCTATGGTTTTGCACTGCCCTAGGCATTCTGTTAATGGTATCAGAGGTCATTTTTTTTTTCTTGAAAATTTTTCAAATGCACATGATGTTGGCGTTTTTAGCAATAATTGTCCCATATTTTTTCTTTGGCCCCAAAGCTGTCTGTAGAGGGCAAAGATCACCATGGACAGCCCAGCTTTCAGACAGGGAAGCTTGGGTGCATGTGTGTTGTGCGCGTGGGAATGGTATGGATAGGAATGCACCTTGTTCACCAAAATGAACAAGCTTTCCTATCCACAATGCCCAAGACCTACAGAGAGCTCTACTTATAAATCCTCCAAGAGATAACAATGGAAAATGAGAAGAGGCTTTCTATAACACGGTAGAAATTCTATCTATACAGAAATGTTTTTTAGTACATATATGTTATAAAGTCTACTTTGTAAAAAAAAATAAAAACAGACAAAACCATTTCGAACATACATTCGTCACATGCCACGGAAACAGAATTGTGCCACCCTACCCTGACGAGCTCTTGAGGGAAAGGGCCTCTGGAGTTTTCTGGCAAGTTGATTGGAGGGATGACCCAGTCTCTCTTCTGTCTCTGTAGATAGCCATTGTGCTTAGCCACTTGCCTGGGAAATACTATTTCTTCAACTTCCGGTGATTCCTTAGCATTAAAACACACAAGACATTCCTGAGTACTAGGAAAAACATTTTTCTGAAAGTACAATATTAATGAATACCTGAAAGCATAGGCATCATGGGTTATTATGAACAAAATATGAGTCTGGAGGATTTTTCCTTGTCCCCTTATTAAAATAATAGAAAACACCATAAAATGCTGGGGTCATACTGTGCACTGAAAAAGTGCATTCTAAACAATTTATTATATGGCTCAACTGCATAAACTATTTGCAGTTTCTATAAACCTCCTTAGATAGTAGTTAGTGCTGAGCAAAATTTAATAGTACCCTTTTATACATTTCTCATTAGTTTAAAACCACAGTTCAGGTAATGTGCTACTGTACATTAAATTTAGATCTTGATGTGCTAAAATATAATTTGAATTCCAAGAGAAGTTTAATACATACTGCTAAGGAATGTCTCAAATATTTATGAGCCTATTAAATCCCACAGAATTAATGCTGTAATTATTCTAAACCTATGTCAGCCATGATGGATGCTATAGATGACCCACTTTGCACATTAGGTATTAATCTCTGCTGGATGTCAACACTTTCTTCTGTTTCTCCATCTATCTGTAGACATTTTAGCCATTAGCCCTTGCTGCTTCAGTGCAAACATCCAAGCTAGTTTGCTGGAACACAGTGAATCAACAACAAAAGTATCTTTTCACTCCATTAGTTACCAGTTTCGCACATTATATTACCCAAATGACATGGCTACCCTTAACAGTTAATAGATTAACAAATTAAATTTCACATAATGAAGACCCCAAACCAGAATACAAGAGGAATTATATATTTTCCTTGGATATATTCACTCATATTTTATTTGGGGTGTGTATATCACACTTACAATTAAATACAAGAAATGAATACGTGTGTTTCTATCTCTCATAGTACAATAAATATACAAAATGTAATAGTGATAGTTCATAAAATCATGGACTTAAATATATATGGGTGTGTCCCCACATATTTGTTTTGAATTAACTCAAAGAATTATAGTATTCAGAATATAATAGTATCATACTTTTAATGAAGAAGTTACATTTTATTTAAGATTCCTAACATAGTGACTTATACAAAATAAATGCTCAATAAAATGTTTGTTGAATTGAATTGAATGATACTCTGTTAGAAATATACCTCATTTATTTTATCTTGGCTCATAGTAGCTTCCACCAGAGGGAGTGTATCATTCCTAAAAGTCATATTGGTATAAATAATTCATGCCCCCCAATTTGATTATTAAGGGAAAAGACAAAAACTCAATACTCATTGCCAGAAATGCTTTTCAGTTACTACTGTAAATCTGTTCTTCTAATCTAATAAATTTGACCAATGACATCTTGCAAAGAATTGTTTATTTTGTGGTTATATTTAATAGCTTGTAAAGCTTCTAAGAAATTTAAAACAAACAACTACTTCTAATTTAAGATGAAGTTATAAATCTCAAAGTATAAACAAACCTTTCAAACACAATTTCTGGTTGCTTAAAATGTATTTAGTTTAAGTATCTTAAAAGATTAAAAACACAACAAAATACTGTTAAATGACTGGAGGTGCTAAACGTTCAAATACTGGCCATCCATTAATGTGATGCAAAGTATATTATTTAGTTGAAACTTTATAAATCTGATTGTTAAGCAACAGCCCCAGAGCCATATCTGGATATTATACCTTCACTGATTCCTCTGTTAAGGTTGGCTTGAGGCTCAATTTTACAGCCACTTGCCACTTTTCCTGGGTCTCTTTGTCTTGGGCGTATATGAGGAACTTGGAATGCTCAGAAGAGAGGGGAAAGCTTCTCACGGCATACACCATACCGTCTTCATCCACCTTAAAATCTGCTGGCTCGCTGCTTTCATACTGGACTTTTCTTTTTCCATTGCAGTTGCTAAACTTCACTGTAAAAGATAACAAAGGTATCCATTTAATTGGAATACAAAGGCAAAAACAACTAACACCTACACCTATATCCTGCTTAAGTGAAAGGATAAAGTGCAGTAGCATGAAACACAGATGTTTTATTTTCATATTATCACAGGCTTTTTCATTCTATAGAATGCCAGGTGGTAGTTCTGAGTGATGCCTCAGTATCTCTTTGTTTTACAGCTTCCCCTGCTTTTCACACTGCCCTAGACACTGGGACCTTGGGTGTGTTTCACCGACACCTTTCACTGCTATTGCTTCCCATTCCCTTACAAATGCCTCAGTTCCAGCTCCAAAGTCCCTGAAGGTAGAATAAACCCACTATTCCCAGTCTTTGCGTAGCAACGTGATCTGTACTAACTCAGTTTCTTAGCCATGTCTGACCCTCCCTGGGGGAAGTATTGCAGGGGCAAATATTCTTACTTATCTTGCATACCGTGCACACATTTCCTAATACAGGGTCTTAATATATATATTTTTGAATAAATGCTTAAAGGAAGAAAGCAATGCAATTACTAATGCTAAATGCCTACTGTGCTCTAGAATTGTAAGACCTTATGTTAATTAAAAGGTGAATAATTTGCAATTTCTATCCCTCCTGGTCATTATAATGGTTCTAATAAGCAATTAACTACTTTATAAATTTTCAAACAAATGAAAATAAACATGTATCTCAAAATAAGTTTTAAATGAAAAAAATCTATGGCTTAAGAGTAGAAAAATCAAAGTGTCTTATCTCTATCTTGCATGCAATGACTTCAAATTTTAAAAATTAATGCTTTCTTAAATGCTGTGCAGCTTATTTCTCAACAGATAATAAAATGAAAGTTAAACCATGTACTTATGTGGAACTAGACATATTCAAGACATAAAATAATAAAAATAAAAATATTCTCTAAGGAAGACTATTTCCTTTGAAGTCCTTAATTGTTCTTTTTTGAAGAAAAGTCTATGGAAACAGCAATAGGGGTCAAATAAAAACCAATTTTTAATTTCTGTAAACATCTGATATTATGTTCTGACCACAATTACATAGGATATTCTTTGGAATGCAATTAAAAAGTACACATTACAAAATATAATCATACACATCTTTTGTATTTCTCAAGGATCTCAGTCAAGTTTTATGAACCCTCCCCACCCTATATATGAGCTTATGACAGTTCTTTTGCTTTTATTAGTAAAAATTCACTGAAACATGCGTAAGATCATAGCCAAATAATACACATGCTATTTCCCTTAGTTACTATAAAATTCTTGATAAAATAAGACACTTTACTGAATATATTATTTTCCATATAATGCCAGATATATCATATTTCATATTTCAATCATTTCAAAATGAATATAAATGTTGTATCTCCAACTAAATTAAGTTAAATCAAAATATTTGTCTTTGGAGTAAAAGTATATCAAAAGATATTTAATTATTCTAACTTTCAGTGCCATGTGATTTAAAAGTAAAAAAAATGGAAATCTTTTCTATATAGCAATGCCATCTACTATTTATCTTTTATTAAAGACAGCAAAACAAAAAATAAAATTGTATTTTGGAATCCCACTGAGAAGTCAAAATGAGAGACTTTTGCCAACATTTGTATAAAAGGAACCTTTTTTATATCACAAAAGGAATTCGTGATACTTAAAAACATGCCATCTGAATCAGAAAAATATATATATATATATACTCTTTTGCACACTGCTTTGTTAATTTTTACCACTTTATCATTAATCCTCATCCATTCTCACCTGGATTGTTGCAACTGCTCCCTGGGTGGGTGGTTGCACGCCCCGCCCCCAGTTCCTAGTCATGGAGCACCCACTGCTAGACTAGACCTCTGCTGTGATTTTCTCCTTAATATCTGTAATATTACCCATCAACTCTTTAACCTAGTGTACAAGGTTCTCTTAATTCTTGGTCACCCAGTTTCTTTAGTTTTACTTATACCATTTTCTAAAACAAATTCTACCCAGTGAGACGGATTCCACAGTCACTCTCCCCACCCCACTGCTGCCCACCTGCCAGGCCCATGGCTTTGTCTGGGACAGTCACCCATTTTCCACCCCACACCTCTAGACCCACTCCATCATTCTGGGGAAGACTCCACCATCATGCCCTTCACATGATGCCAGTCTATGCCCTGATTTGGGACTGCTCTGAATTTTTTATTTTATTTAAATTCTGCATTTCCCATTCATTGAAACATATGAACACTAATTTATTATAACTATTATTATAATAAGTAATGCTAATTTATTAATAATTTAATGTGACTAGATCTTCTTTCCCTAAGCATACTATAAACTAACTTTGGCTTCTTGAGAGTGAGCCTTGGTACTTTTGATTCCTGTGACACTTAACAGTGACAGGGAAAGTATAAATGCTCGTTAAATATCCATTAATACCTTACAGTTTTTCAGAAAACTAGCAAACAGATTGGAAACTTAAAAGTATGCAAGGCCCACTATAGCAACTTTCAACAACAAAACCACACACACACAAAAAAAAACCCAGGGACTTCAAATAATTTGACTTTGTATTAGGCCGTTGGTAGTAGAAGAAAATGAATTAGTATTTGTGAAATGGGAGGCATTGAGAAAAAAAAAACGCTCGCTGGGGGTGGTGGCTAACTCCTGTAATCCTAGCACTCTAGAAGGCTGAGGCAGGCGGATTGCTCGAGGTCAGGAGTTCGAAACCAGCCTGAGCAAGAGCGAGACCCTGTCTCTACTATAATTAGAAAGAAATTAATTGGCCAACTAATATATATAGAAAAAAATTAGCTGGGCATGGTGGCACATGCCTGTAGTCTCAGCTATCCGGAAGGCTGAGGCAGGAGGATTGCTTGAGCCCAGGAGTTTGAGGTTGCTGTGAGCTAGGCTGACACCACAGCACTCACTCTAGCCTGGGCAACAAAAGAGACTGTCTCAAAAACAACAAACAAACAAACAAAAATGCTCAACATTACGTTATCTCCTTTAACCTTAACAATAACCTCCTGGGGTGAGAATCATTATTTCTGTTCTACAGGTAAGAAAAAACTCACAGTCATCTATGCGGGTGGCTGTTTGACTCCATTGCCGTTCTCCCCCCCTACAAAAGTGCTAAATAATCTAATTAAATTCAGGACTTAAGTTATTGAAACCTAAAGTTTTAAGAGACAATAAAATTAAAGAAGTAACCAAGAGGCCTGATAAATGCTTATGAAAGGAGTAATTCCAAATTTAGACCGCTGAGAGTAGCATAGTAGATATATTAAAAGGTAATTCTTAGAGAATTCCCTAAATGTCCTACAGAGGGCAATACCTGGAGCCCCTTCAGGTGGGGTGAGTGTATGACAGGCAGGATTCACACTCACTGGTTCTGTGGGGGCCTGTTCTGTTAATGTGACACTCAGTTACCTATTTGGATTCGGGTGTCAGTGTGCCCGGAAGGAAAGGAAAGGAGGAGGACTTTGAAAAAAACGCATTTGCAAAGAAGAAAAAAATGAACCTTTTTCTACAAGGTGTCAATGCATATCCAATGAATGAGAAGAGGTTGATCTCACCGAGTCTGACACTAGAGAAAACACTTGAGGAAATTGCATAAAGGTCAGTTATTTAAAGTTGATTAGTTTTTCTAGCACTTCTGCCCCTAACCTATAACCAATATGAATTGTTTTAATATATCTATAATTACATTTTGGGGGGGCTTTTAAATGTTAATTCTCATTTGCTTCAATATTAAAATAAGCAACATTTTGGGGGCATTGTTCAGGCTCAACAAAATGTGTTGTATTGCATAAGTCCATTTGTACATTCAACCAGTTGAATCAATACCTTAGTAAAAATAAGTCAATTGTCAACTGAAAACGTTCTCCTCAGTGAAATATTAGTCCTGACTCCATCCTGTGGTTGTGAAGTAATCCATGAACAGTGCCCGGCTCATGGTCACACTCGTGGGATTCATCAAGTTAACCATGTTCGATTATTTTCAAGTCACACAAATTAAAAAGTTTACTGATTTCAACAGATAATAAGTGAAATCCATTTATTATCCAGTGCTCAACTGTTATTGCCTGTTGTCTTGTTCACTTACGACTTAGATGAGCTAGGAATATTTTCTCAAATATGACAAGATTCACCTCTGCTCTAGGACCAAACACTAAAACTTACTCAAGAAGATTTTTTTAATAGAAACTTAAAAGTCAATGGGAAAAGACATTAATGGGAAAAAAGTGGAAAATTGCTATGTTATAGAATCTTCGTTACATCACATATATATATAATTTATAAATTATATTTATTTATAGTTTATAGTCTTTCAAAAATGTTTTCAGATTAAAAATAAAAATGAAGAAGGAGAGTAACCATTTGGAAGAGAGAAAAAGATATCAAAGAGACATGGTTTAATTATTGAAATTAGATTTAAAATTGAACTTTGAAGATGAAATAAAGCAAATATCATGGACATTTGACTTCTGTAAAAAGAAACACATAGTTCACTGGAGCCAACCTGTTTTTATTAAACATTTTCCTTATGGATGGAAGGTAAAGTACTTTGAGAAACATAATGAACTATATATATATATATATATACACACATATTTTATGGCTGGAGTGCAGTGGCATCATCATAGATCGCTGCAACATCAAACTCCTGGGCTCAAGCTATCCTCCCATTTCAGCCTCCCAAAGAGCTGAGATTATAGACACATGCCACTATGTGTAGCTAATTTTTCTGTTTTTCTGTGGACATGTGGTCTTGCTGTTGCCCAGGCTGGTCTCAAACTCCTGGTCTCAAGTGACCTTCCTAAAGTGCTAAGATTACAGGTGTGAGCTGTGGCTGGCCATGAAAAATATTTTTAACTTTTAATATTCAAAACATGAAGCAGTTTTATCATTTTTTAAATATATGGGCTTTCAAGAAGAGCTGATGGAAAGTTATCTTAAATTAAAATACATGCTTAGCAGTGGAACTACTCTATATGATACTATA